CTTGGCATCTGGGACACCTCGGCAGAAGCGCGACTTTGGGTACGGCTTGTTCTTACAGTACTGGTAACACCGGGCGGGGCGGCGGCCCATGGCTGACACCAAGATCTTTGGTGGCGCGCCGGAGGCAAAAGACATTAATGAATTAATTCTTATCACATTTTTAAATTTGGCCAGAGAGGAACAGAGAGAGGGAAGGTGAGAAAGCAAGCCACTAGGTTCGGGACTGGAACCATGGTCAGCCATGTGGCAGTTTAGCATCTTAACCACCATGCCACTTGCCAGCCCCTCATAACCTCAGTTTTTTGAAAAAAAAAAAATTATTTAACTTTATTTGTTTATTTACTTTTTAAATTTGACTGACGATGGATAGAGAGAGAGAGACAGAGAGAGAGAGAGAGTTAGAAAGCAAACCTCCAGGTTGAGGATTTGAACTCATCAGTTCTGTGGGAGTCCAGTGCCCTTAACCATCAAGCCACCTGCTGGCCTCCATAGCCTCATTTTTAAAAATTTAAAAATAATTTTGTTTAACTTCATTTATTTACTTTAATTTGACCAGAGAGGAACAAAGAGAGAGAGAGAGAGAAAAAGAGAAGTAAGAAAGCAAGCTCCAGGTACAGGACTTGAACTGCAGTTGGCCGTGTGGAAGTACAGCGTCCTTAACCAACACGCCACCTGCCTTGCAGCTGATTCAGTTTAACATTTTTGAGATTCGTCCACATTGTATCAGTCTTTTATTCCTTTTTCTATGACAATATTTCAGTGTATGAATAGATCACAGTTTGTTTCCATTCAGCAGTTGAACATTTGGACTGTTTCCATTGCCGTCAATAAGGAAATGTTTGTAGAAATACCGGCTTTAAAGTTTACACAGTGAAAAATACCTACTTCCGTAGTTAGTTGTGGTAATTTCCGTAGTTGTGGTAATTTAATCTGCCATGTCTCTGCAGTTCTTAGAATAGAACCTAATACATAATAAATACTCAAAAAGTTAAAAACTGAGTAACAGTGAAAAATATAAGTCCTCGGTTCTCCTCTCGGGATCTTGGGCACACATGCACACTCACACGTACATGGCGTGAGTTTAAGCCATTGAGTCTGGGACTCAAACCGCATTTGACTATGTGGTAGTCCAGCGATATAACCATTATGCCATCTGCTGGTCCCCATATATTTATTTTAATAAAGATCTTTTCTTTATTCCTTTTTTTTTTTTTTTTTAATTGATGGAGGTTGCATGGGCTCACCAGAGAGAGATGGAGAGAAAGAAAGAACCTATCACTTCCTCCTTGTGGAGCATGGTCATGCTATAGTCTCTTCTTCATTTCTCTACCCTGTTGGGATTTTGAGCATGCATGTGTAGGCACCCTGCATATTTTTCAAAGTACCAGGGCTGGGAAACTGAGATTCGTACTGTATAGTCAGCTATGTGAGATTTGCTCCCTCAATCCAGTAATGGCTCCTTTCTCTGGCAGCAAAGATGCAAACTATTTCCATCCCACAAAGTTCTTGCTGGACTGTATTGCTCTAGAGTAGCACTACAAAGCAGTGATTTTCCAGTTGCCTTGATCTGTAAATTGCTTTTGAAGTAAATACTAGCAGTGGCCTGAGGCAGTCATTTCAGTTCCTAAGCGCATTAATCTCTTTCCAGGTTGACCAGGCCCAGGGCTAGTATTGATTTACCTTAACAGTTTCATTATAGAGCAAGTGTGATCTGTAATAAATGCTAACATATGGGCTTTTTTCCCCCCTTTTAACTTCTGAGTAATAACACTTACTTTACTGTGTTCAATGCAACTTTTCTTGTGTGTGTAGGTGGGATGGGGTGGAGAGAGAGAATTCACTTCTGCAGCATTACATTTGTATATACTGAACTTTTGAGGGGACCGTTACAATTATGTCTATATAACTAAAATTTATCATTCTTGTCTGAAATTATTTATAGAATCCAAATTTTAGGGGGATCAGCAGTTAGCATAATGGCTATGTTGCTGGACTCCCATGTAGTCGACCGCGGTTCGATTCCCGGACCTGGTGGCTTAAACTCACGCCGGGTGTATGTGCGTGCGTGCCCAAGATCCTGAGAGGAGAAGGGAGGAGAAGGGATTGCAGCGTGGCCATCCCCCCTGGGGGGTGATTTCTCACTTTCTATCTCTCTGTCTCTCTGTCTTTCTGGCGAGTGCACAGGCCCAATAAGAAAAAAAAAAAAACTCTCCAAAAAAAGAAAAGAAAAGAATCCAAATTTTAGGGTTAGATTAACGCCGTTCAGTTAGAATTTTACTGAATAAAACCCCAGTTATAGTTATTTTGAAATATAAATTATGGTATATATAAAGTTTTCATAATTGAAAAACTAAACGTAATAGTTTTCATTAAAGCCTCTCTGTGGCCAGCCAGTGGCACAGAGATTAAGGTAGTTGAATCATACATTGCCTACTGTGCTGTTCAAGTGCTGGACCCAGTGGCTTAAAAAAACACTCCAAGGAGCAAGTAGGTAACATAGTGGTTAAAGTGCTAGATTCCCCCATGGCTGACCTGGTTCAAGTTATGGGTCTGGTGGCTTGAAACTCATGTCAGGCATGTGTGTGTGTGTGTGTGTGTGTGTGTGTGTGTGAAAGGAAAATGGAAGAGAAGGGATTGTGATAAGGCCATCCCCCCACCCCTCCCCCCCGGTGTGTGTGGGGGTGACTTTGCACTTAAAAAAAAAAAAAAAAAAAAAACCAAAACCAAACCCACTCTAGGTGCATGGGCATGCATGCCTAAAATCCCAAGAAGAGAATGGAGAAGAAGGGATTGTAGCATAGCCGTTCCCCCCAGGTGGGGGTGGGGGTTCTTTTTCACTTTCTCTTTCTTTGTGTCTCTTATTCTGGCAAGTACACATGCTCTATAGCAAGAATTTGAAAAGAAAAAAAAAAAAAACTCTTATGTAAAAACTCATGCCCATCCCCTATGGGTGAGGGGTGATTTCTTTTTTTCCCTCTCCTTTCTCTCTGGGCAAGTGCATGTGCCCTAGTGGGGGCTGGGCGGGGGGTGGGGGACTGAAAGAAAAAAAAAAGAGGAAGGAGTTCAAGAAAGTAGGGGAAAAAATCTCACATAAAATTGCATTGCACCTGATACATTCTGATGTCTAGGCCATGAATACATTCTGTGTGTGTGCAGAGGTGAAGTAATGATATGCAAGTGTAACTGACTCTGCCTTTGTTTTCCAAATGCCAGATCTAGAAAGATCCTCCTTTCTCTTTACCTTCCGTTTTTGCTGCTGTCCTTTTCTGAGCAGAGGCAATAGGAGATTGCAGTCACTTGGTGTCAGGTCACAGGTTCATGCATTTGAAGTCACTGACATCCTTTTGTATGGTCCTGCCTCCTTCAGTGACCTCCCATCTTTTCAGGTCACTTACTTCAGCCTCTGGTACTACAACAAGCAACATCAGCGCCGGTGGGTAGATCTGGAGAAACCTCTGAAGAAGCAGCTGGATAAATACGCGCTGGAACCTACCATCTATTTTGGAGTTGTGTTTTATGTGCCTTCAGTTTCACAACTGCAGCAGGAGATTACCAGGTGAGAAACTGCATGCTGCTTGTTTTTAGGAAATAACCTAGTGAGATGAGAAAAGTGAAACTGAGACGAAAGTCTGGAACTTTGCCCTCCCACCCCGCGTTACGAGGAGGTTGTGGTATGTGGCATGTCACACTGCATGTTGGATGAGTTATGGGTTCACTAGGCACAAAGGCATGATTAAAGAGAAAAATGATGTTTTTATCCTGGATGTGAAATTTTTTTATAATGATGCCACTGCTAGGGTTCTTGTTGCTCTGTTTCTGATCCTTTGCAAAGGAAATGAGAAAGGAGATTTAAAAAAATGAGTCACAAAACCTGTGTTCATTTCTTTTATCTTTTCTTTTCTTTTTTTTTTAATAGACACATTTTTGCCATAGGGTTCATGTACTCGTTCGAAAGAACAGAGAGTAAGAGAGACAGAAAGTGAGAAATCACACATGCACGCATACGCGCTTGCACACACATACACACACACACACACCCGCCCAGGGAGGTGGCCAAGCCACAGTCCCTTCTCCTGCATTCTTCTCTAGGGATGCTGGGCACATCCGGTGTGAGTTTAAGCCACCGGGTCTAGGACTCCAACTGAGGCTGACTACATGAGAGTCCAGTGACATAACCATTACACCATCTGCTGGTCCCGCTGTGTTCATTACTTTCTTTCTTTCTTTTCTTTTTTTTTTTTGGAGAGGTTTTTGCTATAGGGCGCGTGCGCTCACCAGACAGAGACAGAGAAACAGAAAGCGAGAAATCACCCCCCAGGGGGGATGGCCACGCCACAATCCCTTCTCCTCCATTATTCTCTCGGGATCTTGGGCACATGCCTCTCGGGATCTGGGCCACATTCACATGCACCTGACGTGAGTTTTCAGCCGCTGGGTCCGGGACGCAAACCGTGGTGGACTACATGCGAGTCCAGCGACAGCCATTACGCTCACTGCTGGTCCCCCCCTGTGTTCATTTCTGGTGGAAATGTGCTGCAGGCTCTTATAGTTCTCCAACTCCCATGACTACATTCTGTAGACAAGTGGAGAAGGATTGGGAGGTGGGGCACAGAGAAGGAGAGGGGAGGAGAGTATTTAAGTGGGAAGATCCGGGCCAGTGAGCAGACTTAAATGGGACAGATGCAAAGAAGGAATATGATATTAAGGGAGCAGGTTAGAGGTGCTGAATGTCCTTTCTTTTTTTTATTTTATGAGAGGTTTTTGTGTGTTTGTCTGTGTGTGTATGTATATGCTCTTGCCAGAGGGAGAGAGAGACAGACATAGTGAGAGGGAAAGTGAGAAATCACCCCCCAGGGAGGAAGGCCACACAGCAATCCCTTCTTCATTCTGCCCTCAGGATTTTGGGCACACATGCATGTACACTCGGCATGAGTTTGAAACCACCGGGTCTGGGACTCGAATCATTGTCAACCATGTGGGAGTCCAGTGATGTAACCTCTACACCATCTGCTGGTTCCATGTTCTCTTTTTTTTTTTGAGAGATTTTTCACTATATGGCGCATGTGCTCGCCAGACAGACAAAGAGAGACAGAGAGACAGAAAGCGAGAAATCACTCCCCAGAGGGGATGGCCACACCGCAATCCCTTCTCCTCCATTCTCCTCTCAGGATCTTGGGCACGCACGCACACGTGCCCGGTGTGAGTTTTAAGCCACCGGGTCCGGGACTCAAACCACAGTCGACTATGTGGGAGTCCAGCGACATAGCCATTACACTAACTGCTGGTTCCCAGTCCCATGTTCTCTTAAATTTTCTGAAGACAAAACAAAAATGGAAAAAAAAAATTGAATTCTTAAGCTTGTCTTTCTGAGTTCTCTGAACCTGCCCCTGCATTATCTTTTTTGTTTCTTTGGTTTTATTTTTAAAATTTAATTATTGTTATTTTTAGATTTTTGTCATAGGGTGTGTACTTGCTGGAGAGAGACAAGGAATGTGAGAAATCACACTACAATCCTTTCTCCATTCTTTTCTTGGGATTGTGGATATGCATGCACTTGTACCCATTGTGTTTTTCAAGCTGCCATGTACAGCAGGACTCAAGCCTTGGAGTCTGCCATGTGGGCTCCAAATGCCTTAACCACCTGCTAACCCTCTTTTTGTTTTTGCCCCCCCTTTTTTTTTTTTTTTTTTTTTTTAATTTGCTAGAGGGCATGTGCATTCCCTCGAGAGAGACAGAGGGAAAGTGAGAAAGCACCCTGGAGGAGGAAGGGCCACACCTCAGTCTATTCTGTGTTCTTTTCTCAGGATTTTGGCACACACATATGCATGCCTCATGTGCTTCTCAAGCTGCTGGGTCCAGGATTCGAACTGTGTAGTTGGCCATGTGATATCCAGCTGCCTTAACTACCATGGCACTGGCTGACTCCGCTTTATCTTTTTTTTTTTTTTTTAGCTTTATCATTTAAACTCCCATTAACATTACTTTTGGGCCAATCTGGACTACTTCCAATATCCTGAACAGGCTGCATGCCTTTTCATCTTTGCATCTGAGAGCTTTCTCTCATATTTCTGGACTGGAATCTGATTCATTGTCTAGCTTGTAGTTCAGAAGGCACCTCCTCCATGAAACCATTGTGACCTGTGGCTGGAATGAGCTTTGCCTTTTCCAGATCCTCCTAGAATTTGCTTGTATTTGAGTTGGCAGTTGTCACAGCCTCTCATTATGGCTACTTGCCTATATACCTTTTTCCTAGATTGTAAGTCCGTCTTTTCTTTGGTTTTATCTCTGCACAACATTTAACGTATTGCCCTGCAGATAGTAAGAGCCTGGTACTGCCCCATGTTTGTGGAATGCTGTTTGAGTCTGCCGGTAATTAATGGAGAGGATAGAATACCAAAAAAGAAAGAACGAAATAGTAAGGATAAACACAACCTGACTGTCAAACAGGACTGATATAAATATTAAAGGCAGAAGTGGAAACCAGGAGGAAAAACCATGAACTGATCACTTTAACTCATGTAAACATTACATTGGAGATACGTTATGATCTAAGAACTATATTGGTTAGTGTGGGAGGTGAATAGGCAAGTGAATACGCTTTAATCCTTTCTTACTTTTTTTCTCTCACTCTGTCCCTCTCTGGTCAAATTAAAATAAATAAATAAAATTAAATAAAATAATTCTTTAAAAAAAAGAATCTTCTGATTAGAGAGACTAACCTTGTGCAAAACTGGGTGAATATTGGAAAAACTATGTTTTCAGGAAGTTTCAAATATTATTTGGAAATGAGAGAAGTTTAAAAGCAGTCATGTCCTAATCAGAAAATCACTGTTCAATGGGGGAAAAAAAATTTTTCAAATTTTAATGGAATGACCAAATTATCATTTAAAAAGATGACCCATTATGAAAGGTAGATTAGAGGTGGCAAGATTAAGAGCAGGAGGCCAGTTAGAAATGTCTACGCTGGCCCAGCAGGTAGTATGGTGGTTAAGGCACTGGATCTCAATGGTTGACTCCATGGTTCAAGTCCCGGACCTGGCAGATTGAAAAACATGCTGATACTTGTGCATGCATGCCCAAAATCATGAGGGAAAAATGAAGAAGAAGGGATTGCAATATGGCCATACCCCCAGGGGAATGATTTCTCATTTTCCCTCTCTCTGTCTCTGTTTCTCTCTGGCAAGCACATGTACCCTATGACAAAAATCTTAAATAACAAATAAAGAAATGTCTATGCCATAATCTAGGCAATAATTTAAATTTTGACTTAAAAAAGAATTAGCTATGGAAAGCTAGCTATTAGAGAGAGAGTAGACATGTATGATTCTATCAGTAGGATTGCTCTTTGATGAGGTATAGGAGACCTGATAGAGAAGTTGTATCAGTAAGGATTATGTATGAATGCATGTAACAAAAACTCCCAAATATCATTGACTTTGTAAAAGTGTAGAAGGAGCCCTGTGTGACAACTCCAGTCTTCAAGGTCTAATGCTTACTGCATCCTCAGCATGTTCTTTCCATCCACTAGGTTACCTCATGGTCTAAGATATCTAGAGAAGTTCTAGCTCTCCCATCCATAGAGCTGGAAAGCAGATTAGTGGTTTCCTAGGGAAGGGAAAGGAGTAGGAGAGAAGGATTATGAAGGGTACAAGGAAACTTGCAAGTGATCTGTATATTCCTTATTATTTTTTAAAAAGAATTATTTAATTTTATTTATTATTATTTTTCTTTAATTTGCCATAGGGCACATGTTCTCAGAGAGACAGAGAGAGAGAGAGAGAGAAATAAGTGACAAAGTAAGCAGCCAGGTCCGGAACTTGAACTACAGTTAACCATGTGAGAGTCCAGAGCCTCAACCACCATGCCACCTACTGGTTCCTGTTCCTTATTTTTTATGTTAATAGGTTCTTGAGTTAAAACTGTATACTTTAAATTTGAGCATTTTATTGTATGCCAATTATGCCTCAAAAAGGATGTTATAGGGGCCAGCGGTGTCATGGTGGTCAGGGTGCTGGACTCATACGTGGTTGACCATGGTTCAAGTCCTGAACCTGGTGGCTTGAAAGTCACATTGGGTGCATGCATGTACATGCATGCTGAAAATCCCAAGAAGAGAAGAGAAGGGATTATGATGAGGCCATCCCCACTGGTGGATGATTTCTCAGTGTTCATCTGACTGACTGTCTCTCTCCAGTGAGTGAGTGCACGTGCCCTGTGGCAAAAACATTAAAAAAAACCCCAAACTGGGATTCTGCAAAATAACCATTTTGGGAAAACAGAAATCAAGACTTCTCACTGATAATCCGGCCTCCAGCACCCAAAACTCACGTGGAGAGGCAAAGGGAACAGGCTTTCTTGAAGACACAGCCTCATGGATTCTGCAAAAATAGTATAAAAGCAGTCATGTCCTAATCAGAAAATCACTGTTCAATGGGGGAAAAAAAATTTTTCAAATTTTAATGGAATGACCAAATTATCATTTAAAAAGATGACCCATTATGAAAGGTAGATTAGAGGTGGCAAGATTAAGAGCAGGAGGCCAGTTAGAAATGTCTA